ACTCCCACGAGGAGCCAACTCCCTCGGGTCTCAACGCCATAGCGAGATAACTCCCACGAGGAGCAAACTCGCTCGGCCCTACACACTCGTTGCGAGACAACTCCCACGAGGAGCCAACTCGCTCGGAACTACAACCCGTAGCGAAACAACTCCCACGAGGAGATAACTCGCTCCGTCCTACAACCCGCAGCGAGACAACTCCCACGAGGAGCCAACTCCCTCGGGTCTACGAAACCATAGCGAGATAACTCCTACGAGGAGACCACTCGCTCCATCCTACGACCCGCAGCGAGAAAACTCCCACGAGGAGCCAACTCGCTCGGTCCTACGAACCCACAGCGAGATAACTCCTACGAGGAGACCACTCGCTCCATCCTACGACCCGCAGCGAGGAAACTCCCACGAGGAGCCAACTCGCTCGGTCCTACGAACCCACAACGAGATAACTCCTATGAGGAGACCACTCGCTCCATCCTACGATCCGCAGCGAGGAAACTCCCACGAGGAGCCAACTCGCTCGGTCCTACGAACCCACAGCGAGATAACTCCTATGAGGAGACCACTCGCTCCATCCTACGATCCGCAGCGAGGAAACTCCCACGAGGAGCCAACTCGCTCGGTCCTACGAACCCACAGCGAGATAACTCCTACGAGGAGACCACTCGCTCCATCCTATGATCCGCAGCGAGATTACTCCCACGAGGAGCCAACTCGCTCGGTACTACAACCTACAGCGAGATAACTCCCACGAGGAGACAACTCGCTCGGTATCCCAACCCGCAGCGGGACAACTCCCACGAGGAGCTAACTCGCTCGATATTACAAATCCGTTGCAAGGCAACTCCCACGTGCAACCACCTCGCTCGATAATAAGACTCGCTGCGAAACAACTCCCACGAGGAGACAACTCGCTCAGAGCAACCTCAATCCACACGCGCCTAAATCGCGCATCATCCAATGCTCCTACAACTTCGCTCAAGACAACTCCCATGAGGAGACAACTCGCCCTAAATTCACCATATAATCGCAAGCTCAAGTTAGCACGATTACAATCCTAGAAGCACTTAGAGATATTATGAGAATCTATATAGCCTGGCCAGCTTGATTACTCAAATTTATCTACTTGTTTTCGATGGGTCATTCATTAAAACGTGGCCACGGTCCAAACATACTTAAGACCCACGAGGTCTAACAAGGGGCACGACCCCCATATAAAAAAAAATCTTGAGAGCCTGATCCCCTCCTCAAGTACATCACGCAGAAAGCTATATGTAAACACATACAAGCAACGCGTCAAAACATTGAAAATGTCGAAAAATAATAACTCCCACGAGGAGAATACTAGCTCCGTGCTACTACATTATCGTGAGACAACTTCCACGAAGACGTAACTCGATCAACTCGATTACCCCAGAGACAACTCCCACGAGGAGATTACTTGATCCGTGCTACTACATTATCGCGAGACAACTCCCACGAGGAGATAACTCGATCAACACTATTACCCCGCGACAAGATAGCTCCCACGAGGAGATAAATCGCTACTACATCGTCGCGGGACAAAACCGACGACTCGATTAATTTATATTGCGGCAACTTTGTCGCGCTATGCGCCAACGCGCATTCACACCCCTCCGACACACGCTCCAACGCGTTTTCGCATACCATTAGGCCATACGCCAATGATCGACTTCTCCAATTTTTACTCTCGACACGATTTGAGACCCATCACAACATGGCCCCCACATCGACTCGAGAGTGGGGGGCTTAATGATATGCCTAATTGGGCCAACCCAATGGGCCTACAATTTCTTTACCTACTGGGCTACGAGTCCAATATCGAAGACTAATATCACCGAGGCCCAAACACCTTCAAGTAAGGATTGGGCCCAACAAAGCAAACCCAACCCAATAAACGACATATAAATAGAGGTTTTCCTCATTTTATTAAGGTACGTCCTATTAACTGAGTAATACTATCAACTGTATTCTCTGGACTATTTCTATGATCAGTTAGTTTATGCTTAGTATGAGAGGGGTTTCCGCCGGATCAACCCCCGGCGTAGTTCACGTGTGTTCATTTCGCAGGTACCTCAGGATCATCAAGTTGTCAAGCTACTGATCTGCTTTGCTCTCCCAGTTCATTTTCTACACTACCCCAGGTGATCTACATTTTAGCATCATCACATATGGTCTCAAGAAAATTAATAATTAAGATTGCTATAAAATAATTATGAAAATAGAATTAAATATTTTTTTAAATAAATGAAGAATTAATTCAAATTAGCTAAAGGCTTGAGAGAGAGAAATAATATAAGTGTGCGAGAGAGAGAGAGAGAGAGAGAGAGAGAGAGAGAGAGAGAGAGAGAGAGAGAGAGAGAGAGAGAGAGGCGTGTGAGTGAGGGGAGAGAGTTGTAACCGTGTGGTGTGGTGTGGAGAGGACAGAGAGTGAGAGATTTGTGAGATTTGTTTCCTTAATTTTTAAAATTAACTAATTACATAAAAATATTAATTGGGGGTATCTATGTCTATACATAAATAATTTAATTAATTTTAATTGATGAAGGACCTACACCTATATTCATCTAATAGAATGGATCTTCACCTATATAAGTTTAGAATAAAGGGTGTCTAGCCAATTTCCCCATATTATTATTAGGTTCTTTAATAATAAAAATTAACATAAACAAAATAAAGCATAAACTCTTTTTTTTTTTTTATTAAAAGCCCAACTTTTATTTTGAATTAAAAAGAAAAGAAAAAAAAAACCCAATTTTTTCACCATTTTTTTCCACAAAAGTTTGATCCGCCTCCAAGGTTTGACCGCCTCGGACCACCTCCACCCGCCTAAAACCGTCTCACAGGTCAAAAACCGATTTTTCAAACATTTACACCAAAATCGTAAAGGTTTGTGATCAATTCCGCCTCGTAGACTGATTAATCGGCCACATGGGCCAATTTTTAAAACAATGTTTTTAAATAGCATCTTTTGATTTTGCGAATGTTTCTTCGTTCAATTTAAATTAGGGTTTTCTCAAAAATAAAAACGAATTTTCTAAATTAGGAACCCTATCGTTTGCACATTTCACATGAACTAAACTCAACCCTCTTTCCCCTTTTTTTATACCCCTAATATGATATTTCAACTTTTTTAAGGGAAAATTCAACTATTTTTAGGCTACTAGCCAAATCTGAAGAGAGAGTAGCCCTCGTTACATCTCGAACTGTAGGTTTTTGCAATAGCGTGGGCAAGATTCTCTGAACGCTTTACAAAAACGAAAATACAATAAACTAACTCTCTAGTTGTGCTAAGACTCTCATCTAATAGAGCACCATTATAAGAGGCTTCAGGCGTTGACTTATCCAGGAGAATGTTAATTACTTGTAAGTCGTCCCCTTCAAGGACAATAGACGTAAATCTCATTTCTTTGACTTTAGATATTGTCAATCTTTAGCAACGTTAGATGTTACATAGTAGTTCTCGTCCGTTGAAAAAGTCACATCAAAATTCACTTTCATAAAGCCAAAGTCCGGAGGTTTCCAAGTAGCCGGATGCATAGATCTGTCTTCATTGTAGTGAAACTAGCTTGTCCTTGTTGGTTAATTGAGAGTGTTAATTGAATTGAGGAAAAATTGATATCTATTCTTCTCCAAAGGAGGCACTATTTATACACATAGAGAGAAAGCTATACAATGAAATTACTAATTTCAATGAAATCAAATCTCCTAACTTATGTAAAGTATATTAAATCAAATCCCTAACTTATTTCCTAAGAATATACATTAACAGCCCCCCTCAAACTCAAGGAGGGTGACAAACCAACTTGAGCTTGTAGACCAAATCACGATGACGTCCCTTAGGATGAGGCTTTGTGAAGATATCTGCAAGTTGATCTTTGGAAGAAACCGAGAAGAGCTTGAGAATACTTTGAGTAATGTGTGAACGGGTAAAATGACAGTCTATCTCAATGTGTTTAGTCCGTTCATGAAAGACATCATTGTGACTAATATGGATAGCACTTTGATTGTCGCAGTGAAGAGGAATGGGAGAGGATGTAGATACTCCTAAGTCCTTGATAAGCCATCGAAGCCAAAGGAGCTCAGATGTGATATCCGCAAGAGCACGGTATTCTGCTTCAGTGCTGGATCGGGCAACAAATGTTTGTTTCTTACTTCTCCAAGATATTAGAGATGTGCCAAGAAGAAAACAATAACCAGTAGTTGACCTGCGATAAGTGGGATCTCCAGCCCAATCACTATCGGAGAATGCTCGAAGAACTAGAGGTGACTCAGTAGAGTAGAAAAGACCATGAAAAAGAGTACCCTTTAGATATCGAATGATGCGTAGAACAGCAGCATAGTGAAGCGATCTTGGAGCAGATAGATATTGACTCACTTGATTAACCGCATATGAGATATTAGGACGAGTGACAGTAAGATAGACTAGACTGCCCACCAAACGCCTGTAAAGTGACGGATTCGACAACAGTGTCCCCCCTGCGGGAGTCAAGTGAGTATTAAGTTCAACAGGAGTGTCAATGATCTTGCTATCAGTGAGGTCGGCTTGAGATAAGAGGTCAGAAGCATATTTGACTTGAGTAATGTAAAGACCATCTTTAGAGTGAGTAATATCAAGTCCCAAGAAGTAGCTGAGGTGACCAAGATCTTTCATTTCAAACTGTTGACTCAGAAAATCCTTCAATTCTTGAATTCCACTAGGATCATCAGCAGTTATGATTCTTAGAATAGATTCTCGTGCATCGCACGGGTGAGTTACTAGTTATTTCAGAAATAAAATAGTATCAAAAAAATGTATACTGTTTTCATATGTACAATCTAATGCAATTTTTAAATATGTATTAGACCTTGTGGGGTCCATTCATTGTGACAGGCATCTGATTTTTATTTTTTTATATTTTGTAAATATCAACAATAAAAATTAAGTATTTTAAATTATTTTAATTAAAAATAAATATAATTTAAAATATATTATCATTATTGAAGCTTTTAAGCTTTTAATCATAGGCTATTAGTTTTATTTAAGGCGAAATACACTATTATTTATAAATATTTATATAAAAAAAACATTAAAATAAAAGATAAAAAGGAAAATTTCTTGTAGTACTGCCGCAAAGCAAAGCTTGGATCCATCCTCCCCTTCATTGTCCCCACCTCACAACCCTTCATTATTCCACCATAGCTTGGATCCATCCTCCCCTTCATTGTCCCCACCTCACTGCCCTTCATTATTCCACCATTGTTCCCACCATTAATTGCATTATAGGTTCTTATAACTTGAAGACAAAGATAAAAAGATATTTGATTCTGTTTGCATTTCACTCTTTTTAGTCTTTTAGTTTGTTATTTCTCTTAAGAGCAATTAGCACGTAATAGCAATTAGCACGTGATTGTTAATTAGAGTAAACACCAAAAATGAGATAATTATATTTAAATGGCTGACATTTTGGGACAGTATAGTTACAAAGAATGTCCTATGTTTTTGTTGTTTTGGTAGGTAACATGCGACATAGCTCCTCATTTCGCCTCAATAATTTAGAATGTATAATTTTGACTATTACTCTATATGTTTACAAGTTTTTTTGTTTCTTTGAAATCCTACTCCTATTTATGCTAATTCATCTCACTAATAGATGTTGTTTTTTGATCTAATCATATGGTTGCCACCGATCCTTTAGAATATTCACTAAAAATTATAATTACGTTCTAGAGTATATGGTAAATACAATGGTGCCTCTTTAACACAAACATAGCATGTTATAAATAAGGTTTGATCCTTCTAAGTTCTAAAGTATCTATCCAACAAACGAAACAATCAACAAATGACTTTATAGAGTTATTGCATGCAAATTTATTCGCACTCTATTTTCACTGCAAGTGCTATGCAATACTTTCTCTCCTTATAATGTTATAAAGCAGTATTGTTGTATCTTGGGAGATTAATGTTATAAAGCAGTACTGTTGTATCTTTGGAGATTACCGAACCTGTTGCACCGTAGAACTATTTACAAAACGTAAACAACAATTTAATCTATCGAAGTGTCCAACTACTGTTGTATCTTGGGAGATTACCCAACCTGTTGCACCGTAGACAACATAAATTTGTAACAAGTAACAAGATTTGAATTTGCGCTATTTCCACGCAAAAGTCTCTCATTCATCACCATAATTTTGATTTTAAAATTGATTTTACTTTAAACTCTATGTAACCTCAAATGATCTCGACAAAAATAAGTTCTTTTCACCCCATTTTCAGCTTTTTTCTATTGGACAAAGGTCATCTGCTTCTAGATTTGAAAAACAACTGGATATTAATGAATAAGCTCAAAAATGAGATGATTAATCACTGCCATTGATTGGCTGTCTTTTAATCTAATTGCTCTGTGAGTGTTAAAACGGGTCAGATTATAGGCAAATGCAACGTCATAGTGGTAGGGAGAGAGTGAGAAAGTCGAGTAATCATATGCACATTGCACCGTATAACTCAACATACGCATCACATTGCTCGTCTCATTCCGAATCCGAACCCAAATCGATTTTCGAAAATCCAACGCAAGTGCACAGCACAATACACCGACATGATGCTTATGCATGATTTTAACTATCAAGGTTCGAATATTTTTCAAATAATTTCAAAAGGCTCGATAACCAAATGAATCCATTTCCGAACTCTTAAATTACCGAATTCTTACAAACACTGATATAAACTCTACCTCTCTGCTTCTCGATTTTGTTCCTCAAAAGTGTCTAAAAAGTTACAGCAAATGCCATATTTTAATATATTCACCTATACAACTGAGGCAAGCGATATCCGCTCATAACTATTTTGTCGGAGAACATCTTGCCGGTCTTTGGCATGACATGCCAATGCAGTGTTAAGTTAAAGTCTTTACCTCGTAAATTGCTTCCCTATGAACACATGCCAAGAAAATAAACAGAAATTAAATCAAAAAAGTTGGCTAAGAAGATATGTGTTTGTAATTGCTAAAAAACAACCACTCACTTGATCAATGAAACGATATTTGTTAGTTGTGTGAATCCAAAACTTTGCGTGTTCTTTCGAAGGTATAATTCCGTCCCATAATGACACCTGCGGAAATGCATTTAGAGAATTTATAACACAAATCAAACATAAGCTATACAGCGCGGAAACTTCAACTTTTTAACGTTTCCGCGTTTCGGAAACGTTTCGTGTCGGAAACTTGAAGACACCTTATGGGCCATTTTGCAATTTCTAAAAAGTTAGAAACATGTTTGATTAGCAAATTTTCAAATATTTTTGTTGTTACCCTAATTATTTACATCATTTAATGATCAATTATAGTTGAGAGTAAAATTTATTTTGGATATGTTTGTATAAAAATATATAAAAAGAATTTATATGTAAATAAAAACTTATATATGTTTATAGAAAATATTTATAAATATACCCCTATACTTTTAATATTTACACATTTCCCCCTAGTTCCCGGAACATGCTGTTTCCCCGTTTCTCTATTTCTGTGTCCGTGCTACATAGGACATAAGCATAGTAAACGATGACACTGACAGCCAGAGGTACTAACATAAACATATTATAATGTTTAAACAACGACAGCGAGTACGAACAATCATTACAATATGCATACTCTACAACAAAAATCGAGCATAAGTTAAAGAACAGATACTAAATGGATATATAATACCTGATTAAGCATATTCTTTGGGGTTTCATACTCGGCGGCTAAAAAGACGAAGACCTGCAAAATCGAGATAATTTTTGTCACGTCCAAATAAGCTTCAATCCCAACAACTGACTGGAAATTTAGAAGGAAGAGTATTTATATATTTTCGTTACAGTTTTATTTCTTCATATCTAAGCCTTAGGGTTCTATAATGCAGCTATATAGAAACGAAAAGTAATCTTACAAACTGAAATCACCAAAACACGTAGAGAGTATATTCAGAGTGCAAAAAAAGAATTATTCTAAATGTAGACAAACCTGTTTCGTATTCCACGTGAACAACGACTCTAAGTTTGCTGATATATTCAATGTCAGGCTCACCTGCATAAAGTAAAATTCATAATTAACCAACCAAGTACTTCATATTTTTTTTAAATTGTTTCTCAAAGGAAAACGAAGAAGCAGACCACAACCCTGCATGACTTTTTTTTTTTTTTTCCATTTTTAGGATAAAATCAACAGCCACAACTTTTTGCATCAGCATAAAGATAAAAAAAAACTTTTGTGTACACAAACCAGACGGCAATGCAAATTTGCTCCCAATATTATTTACTACTCCCCAAAGCCCGAAAAATGACAAAAGGTGGGGTGAAGAGAACCAAAGAGTTCCGATATGTTCTTATTTTCTTCTCCAGTATCATTCACTGAATCGGTAACATACTAACATAGTAACATGTAATCAGCGCCGATTTGCCAAGTAGCAAAATTTGCATTTTTCAAATTCACTTAATTAGATGTCGATCGTGTATTTTCATCACTTAACTGTTTTAAAAGCAAGCCAGTTTCTTTTTTTTTTTTTTTTCTTTTTCTTTCGAAAAAAAAAATATCAAAAGAAACAGGCTTTCTTGTTTCTTGTTCCAGGTCATGGTATAGACGCTCGTTCGACAAAGATAATATGGTAGATTAACAATTCTTCCCCAATAAAACAAGTGTAATTTGTTCACATAATAATATCAGTGCAACACTCTTTATCTCCTATATTAGGCAGACTACAAACTGAAACCAAAAGAAACATAGACCAAGATAACATGATGGAGATTACATCAACTAATCATCCACTAATTAAAAATCTGGCTTCACCGTATACGTGAACCAAATATCGAAGATGTTTACTCCAAGGATTCCTTTAACTGATTTGGAGATAGTTCATTCAATTCCCTTGTAATTATATTTTAATTTTGGGTAGCTTCCTTATTTCTTAGGAGAGATAGTATCCGTTTACTTAGACAGTCGCAGTTTTCTCGATTTACAGTTTCTCCAGATTTCTATATAAGTACATATGCTTTGAATGGAGCAAGAAACAAGTTATGGTTATAAACAAACACCATTATCATTTTCTTCGTGGTATCAGAACCAAATCAACTACTATTCACGGCATCAACAGTTCTTCATTACGATCACATGAAATTTGTCGATGTAGCCTTTCCTCGTCCCTCATCAACTATCAATACAACTACTGGAACAACCCACAACCTTAGCCATAGTCAATGGATTTGTCAGGATCAAATTGATATTTCCGATGCCATAATCAACTGTCTCATGCCCTCAATTGAATCGTACCACAAATTCATTCGGTCTCTTTGTACTTACCTTTTTAGATAGCTTTATTTTTCTTAGCGTAGACTGAATATTTTTGTTCAGGTAGTTTCTTAGTGTCCTTAGACCTCATTTGGTTGCCAAGATAAGATTAGCCAAGATAAAATTAAATAATCTAATGAAACCCAACGATACTATTGGACCCTGGAAGATCCAATAAAAAGCATGCCTAAAAGGCAAGATAAAGCATGATAACATAATATTTGCGGGTCGACCCGTCAAATTCTTGGGGATACCAAACATCAAACAAAGTCCCATTATTTAGTTAAACTTGGCTAATCTCCCCAACCAAACGAGGCCTTAGTCTACAGATACTCCGTCTATTTAAGTTATTGCACGTGTTCTTTGAATGAAACAAGAAAGAATATATACTCCTATGAAACACCATTACCATCAGGGCATGCGTTCTTTGAATTGAAACACGAAATAAGATATACTTCTACGGAACACCATTATTTTTTTTCTCCCCGAAATGCACAACAAGAATTTGAGGAATTTCGTTTTATAATTATACTAATAAAAAATATAATTAGTTCAATAATTATATTTTCCCTTTTCCACAATTTGAAACTCTTATAACACATTAGTTTTATAATTATATTAATCATAAATAAAATTTATTTCACCGTCCTCATAATCAGAACATACTAATTTTCATTTTCAAAACAGATAAGAAATCCATCAATCTAAGCAAATAGGCTGAAATTAATTAATTACCTCGTCATCACCATCGGGTTTCTTCTGGAACCAATTGATGTTCAACACCTAAAAAAACAAAAAACCCCAAAAGCATTTATTTAACATATTAGGGTTTAAACAAACACAAAGAAAATCAAACCCATCGACACAAAAGAAGAATAATAAACGAAATTGAAGAAAATACTATTTTGCATAAATAAATAAATTAAAGTTTTACCTGGACTTGTGAAGTGGGCGACGGCGAATTGAAGTTGTCCGAGACAGAGGCGATGGCGCACATTAGCGCGAGAATGGTGATGGCGAAGGTTAGCAAAGCGTTAGCTCTGTACCCAAAAGAATGCATTTTTATTGCCCTTTTTGAATTAAGCAAAAAATGTGGTGTGCCAAAAAACCAGAGATTTTTAGTGTTGAAGAAGAAGAAGAAGAAGAAGAAGAAGAGTGGTGGGGGTTATGACTTTGGGGAGACTCGTCGCACAATCGCATTTATGCTTTAGATCTCTGTTTTTTGCATTTATAATTTCCGGAAATCTGATTATCGCTGTTGTATTCATTTTTATATTTAATTCGATTTTCCTCAATTTTAATAAATGAAAAGGATTTTTTTTTTTTTTTTTGGAAAAATATGTTTTGAGAAAAGAATTTGAGGATGAGGATGAAATTAATTGTTTGTATTTTGAGATGAGACAAGATACACTGTAATAAACAAATCATGTTTAATGGTGTTTGCCAGGGTCGGTACTGCTCGTTTTTTGCAATAAACTAAACACGTACCGATAATATCGGTTTTTCACATTTTAAGAACCGAACATGTCGGTTTTTACCGATTCGGTGCTAGTCGGTTTCGGTATTAATTTGGTTTATTTTCGGTTTCGGTTTCATCTATCGGTTTGGCACAAAACTGATATTTGATTAACGGTGAATTTGAACTTACATTGCATTTGTTTAAGAAAATTAACAAATAACGACCCAAAGTTAACTAATAAAAAATATGTCACAATCCAAAATTAACTAATAGAAAACATGTCACATGGAGGCGCTCGAATGATAGAGGTGCGCTAGGGGAAGACGGTAAATATTTATACTATATATCAAAAGGACGTCATTTTGTATAAATCAATTCGGTTCGTTAATTTTTTTATTCTCCATACAAAAACCGATATTTTCGGTTTTAAAAAAAAATTTACCATACATGCGATTTTAAGTCGGGATGGTGCATATCGGCTCGTTTTTTTCGGTTTTCAGTTCGGTTTCTCGGTTTTTTTGCTCACCCCTAGTGTTTGGTAAATATCTTTTAGAAAAAAAAAATTATAAAATATTTTTAGTAAATACGTTTCTATTGTAGCAGTAAAATCTTTCTTACAGTAGCAATCAAATCATGTTTGGACGAAGGAGGGAACTAACTAGATAGACAAGCTGGACTTCGATCAATATGCCAAGGTATAGAAGCTTTTCGAAAATCGTAAAGATAAATGTTACTCCAAGCTACGAGTCAGCCATAGTAGTACTCTTTGCAGATTCATAAATCTCCAAATTCCGAATGTGCCAAGCCTTCCGCCCACACTATTACAGCGAGTTCAAGATCTTCCCGAGTAAACTTCGCATAAAAAAAAGGATAATTTGTATGCGTCTCTATCAACAAAAGACGTTGTGCACTCCATATAAATTTCATCCTATCGCAAATAAGAGCAATATGGAGCGCCGATTTGTGCTCATTTTGACGGCGACTACAAAATCGATTTGGTGCAATATTCCGGTGATATAGCTCCACCCTCGTAGAAGGGATATCGTTACATGCTTTGGAAATGAATACTCGAACTTTCGGAGGAAGTTTTATACGCATATAAAATCTCCGCTTCTGTTTACTATTCCACTTCGATTTCCCCCATTAATACCTCCCATATGATTAACCATAGATGGAATATTAAAATAATTAAGAAGATCTTACACAAAAGTTTCAATTTTGTAAATCTTATTAATAAAAGTAAGGTTGTTCATGTGAAACCTTAGGGTTTTTTTTTCCCGCTCATTTTATGGCTATATTTGTCATCTTATTAATAAAAGTATCATTTAATTATTTTTTACTTTTATTGTTTATTTCTTATTTTTATTATTTTATTATTTCAATTTTCCTGTAATTAGTTCTAAACTTTACCGTTTCTAATATTTATTATTGTTTATTGTTTTACCTCATCTTCCCTATGACCCCTACTTTTCATCTGTCTCCTCTGCAATTCATCTCCTTCCCACTTCATCTTCACGGCTCTTCATACTCCGAATTATCAAAATCTTTTCTTCACACCGAATCTATATATCCTTCTTCAAGTCAAGTTCTCTTTCTCCAGATTTCTAACTCAAATCTACATCTCTCTAAAATTTTACCCGCCTCTCCTACTTCTTTTCTCATATTTTTCTCCCCAAATCTAACTATGCATACATATCTCATACGACACTTATCTTTCTCCACCTCTTCTCTGTACACCCGCCTTTCCTATGTCTTTCTTAAACACCTATTTATATCATTTTTCCACTTATCTGTGGGTATCTTTCTCTTTGCAAAAATTAACTCCATTAGTCAAAAGGTAAGTTTGTTCATCAACCTACCACCTCTTTATTATTTTTGGAATCTCTTCAATCTCAATTTTTCTGGATTTAATTCGATCCAATAAATTTCATTCGTTTTTTCTCAGTTTTGTGCGATTTGTCGAAACGGGATATGATGAATGTGTTAATGTTCATATATTTGGAGTTTCCCAAAAATCCTATGTCAGTTTTATGTGATTTGTCGATTAATCGCAGAAGTAACAGGATATGATGAGTTTGTTAATGTTTATATATCTGGAGTTTTCCAAAAACTCTATGTATCATTTAATTTGTTCATTTTTTTTTTTATTTTTCTCCATCTAAAAACAATAGGGGCAGAGATCGTTCTACTACGCTAGATATCATCTCATCTTCATTCGTCGAATAATTTAGATTCAATATTTTTTTAACATTTTTTGTATTCTTTATCAGAATACAATTTTTTTTTAATATTTTTTGCCGGATTAATGTACAATTCCCCTTTCTTTGTCTGATTCTTCTAAATTATTAGATTAATTCCTCCTTCTTCTTTTTTTTAAAAATATTTTTTGTGTTCTTTTTCACAATTTAATTCCATTTTTTATATTTTTTGTGTTCTTTATAATAATTAATTCTTTTTTTGTAATAATTTTTTTGTGTTCTTTATCACAAATAGCAAACATGATTACGAGCACGTCCTTCATTCACGAATTTGTTTCGGGCAAAAAGACTGATTGTAAAATATTAGTTCGGGTCATACGTCTGTGGTTCATACCAGATAAGTGGAATTCGAAAAAGAATGTTGGCATCAAAATGGTTTTAATTGACGAAGAGGTGAATGTGCTTTTATATTTTTTTATTATGTTTATTTTTTATATATTTATGTTTCGAGTATTCAAAACATAATTATCCGTCTGACATTTATCTCAGGGTGTGCGGATTCATGCTAGCATAAAAAAATGCTCATTCGTAGGTATCAAGAGTTGATAAAAGAAGGCATCAGCTATATTTGTAAAGAATTTCTTTGTGGTTGATTCAAATGGTGGCTTAAGAGCAACAACACATAAGTTTAGACTGAACTTTATGGGATGCACAAAAGTTATCGAAACATCAGTCGATAAGATTCCATCAACCCATTTTTAGTTTGTTACGTTTGACACAATCAAACAGAACGTGGATGAGAGCTTACTGTTTGGTATGTAACTACTCATATTAGTCTACTAATTTTATATTGATTATATCATTAAATTTTGATGTGTTTTCCTTTGACTTGCTAATTTATTTAATGTTGCAGATATAATTAGCCACGTGGTTGAGAAAGACCCTATCAATATAAAGGACAAGGACAAGAAAAGCAAGTTTTTGGAGATTGTCGTCCAAGATTTAGAGTATTTAAAATATAGATCGTTGTTTGATGATCTCTTAATGTTATTCATAACAATTTACTTAATTTTCGGGAAAAATATTGTTAGATGCACTTTGTGGGAAGCTCTTGCCGAAAGAATGGATGCATATCTTCTCAAAGATGATCACAATGGACCTATTCTGGTCATCCTTCATTTTTTTAGGACCAAGACTTATTTAGGTATTTTTTAACCCTGAACCATAGATCAACCATAATTGTTTTATTTTATTTTGTAAGATTATATTGTTGATTATTTCACACCCACATAAAAATTAGGAAAAACGGGTTTATCGAATGCTCTGAATGTGTCAAACTTATTGATCAATCCGGATTTGAAGGAAGTGTTGGACTACAAGGACAAGTAAATATATTTAATTGTTCCAATTACTATTTAATAAACTCGACTATGATTATAAAACTTATTGATAAAAGTAAAGTTGCTCTCTTATTAATAAAGGTAAGGTTGTTCATGCTAAACCCTATGAAAATTTTCCCACTCATTTGATAGTTATAATTGTCATTTATTTAATTAATCATTTTTTTTGTTTTAATATATTTAGTATAATCAAGTTTAATAAAATCTGTTAAGTATCCAGACTTTTTCGCCCCAAATTTACGTATTTTTTCTCACCAAAATTATTATGTTTACTTAATATTAATTTGATGGAAAAATTATTTAATTGTTTACAAAAATATTTGGTTTTTATCTTATTAATAAGGGATAATTAGTGAAAACCTCCCAGCACATTAAGATATATTAGGATGGATCTACACCCTTTTCCAATATTAGTGAGACCCCCCTTAGTTATTTAATTAAATTAATATTAATATAATTATTAAATATTATACCTATATTACCCCTAATTATCAGATCTTATAATCACAAACCCTAGCCATATATTTTATATTCAAAACCGCCGTTCTATCATCTCGATTCACGTTTTCTCTTCTTTATCGATCTGAAATCCACTTCTCTTCTTTCTCAATCTGGGAATCCCGGTAATGGCGGTGGAGGCGGCGGCTACGGAGGACGAAGGTGGCGCCACGTCTCAACAACGACGAAGGAGTCGTTCTCAAATCTCCGGCACCGTGAAGAAAATTAAAGAACAATAGCCGCTATGGAGTCGATTCTCGCTCAGTTCGCTTCGTTCTCAGCCGCTATGGAGTCGATTCTCGCTTAGTTCGCTTTGTTCGTTATATTCGGTGGCCACCAAAGGCGTTGGAATCGAATATGGGAGACCCTTCGTTTTTTTTTTGGTAATGGTTAACCCCTCTCTACCTCCACCCTCGTCTGCATCGTCAGATCTGGTAACATCGCTCTGCTCCACCGCAACCATAATTTAAAAAAAAAATCGGAGATGTTTTTATTGATGGGTATCTTTTGCAGCAATATAGTTGTTTTCGTTATTCTACTATTTTTAGTATAGTTGTTTTCGTTATTC